GTGGGAAAATGTTCGGTGTGGAAAATGTCTTACCAAATGGGTTGAAAAATGCTAGTTTATTTTAGAAAGTAAAACCAAGCATCCATAAAGGAATTGTCCCTATAGACCAATTCTTGTGACTGTGAACCATTTTGTTTTTTTGCTTTAATTGTTGGATAAGTGTCGTAGAGCAAGTTGCGAAATGCTAATTGATTTGAAAAGTCAAACCGACCATCCAAGAAGTAATTGTCCTCGTAAATCCAGTCTTCTTCCTCTTTTTTTTCTTTTAATAGATACAATTTGGAGTAAAAGATGAGAATTGTAATATGACAGCATTATGATACCAATCGTAATTCCTGTCAAAATATTGAATGCGTCTATCATGGGTCTAGTCCTTGTAGACCTGCCAAAGGTACGAATTGAGTTTAGTTAGGATGAGGTCAGAATGGCTAACGGGTTAAAATGAATTGGGTTAAAACCAGTTACAGATTAATGAAGGTAAATCTTAACTCGTTTATCACAGGTTACAGGTCAACTCGTGGGTTGATTCAATTAATTTTTTTTTTATAATTTGTATCTATTACCATTCAAAAAAAATTATTCAAAAGATTTTAAAAAAAATTTAACATATAAAAATAATTTTTTTTCATTAATTTAATATATACATATTTATATATAGTTCCTTAAAATCACATTTTTTATTTCTCTTCAAAGAACAACGTTGATTAAATTCAAGAATATTACACTTATAAATCTCAATAAAAAAAAAAACACTAATAACATGACAACCAAAAAACACAAACCCCATTAGAATATATTTGTTTTGGTCATTGCTTTCAAAGAATAATCAATTAATTGCATCTAAATAAGCAAAAGGGAAAATCAAGTAAAATTTTTACTTGGAATGGAAAGAAAATTAAAAAGCATGAATAAGTAAACAACTTACCTTGAAATCTTTAGACAAAAAAGTTGGTGACAATAGAAGCACTTGCCAAACTCATAGGAGAAAAAAAGAAAGGGCTGAGTGGATGCAATATTGACTCAATAAAACTAAGATCAAAGTCTGAGATAATGTTGAAGACTAAAGAAAAAAGGTGGAGTCGAAACTTGAAAGTCGAATGTTGTACGAACTATGGAAGTTGAAGAATATGAGAAGAGTTTGAAGTTTGAAGAGTCAGAGCATTCGAGAGTATTAGAGTAAGTAAGAATAAGAAAGGTCGAGAGGTAAGTTATGAGTAGAGTGAGATTATTTTTACTTTTAGAAGATGATGAGTTAAGAAAATCAATTAGTTAATTTGAAAAAATTAGTCAATTATTAAAGGTTTAGGTGAGATTGAAAATTGGAAAATAAACTAAATAAATAATAAATTAAAAAATTTTACTAATTACTAATATATAACTTCATGATTAGATGTTTAAATAATCGCTAATAAAAAATTTCTCTCATTTCAGCCTTCTTTTTTTAGCAAGATTATTATGTTTAATTAATTGCTAATATAAAACTTCTCCTAGTTACTTTTATATGCTAAAGGAAATAATACATCAGTTTTACACGTTTAAAAGAAGAAAATGACATGCAAATTAAAAAAATTATTTTTCCTATAATGCTTATGGGAATTGAGAAAAATTAAAATATTTTAACAATTAAAATATTAAAATTAATAATCAAAAGACTAATATTATTAATAAATTAATATATAAAATTAATTTATTAAAAATATTTAAATAATTTTAAAAGAAGAA